TCTACTGGCCAAGGTTAAGTATTCCAGTTTACCAGTTTAGTACCCAATCCAGCGCTGTTTCCAGAGTAATACTGTCTGTCCCAAGCTCAGTTCACAGAACCCAATAAAAGGGCCATCACAAACACTGCATGCCATAGCCATTATGGACAACTTGGGTCCCCCTTCCATCATTATACGAATTCTAAGAAAAATTGCTCTCAGTATTTTCAGGATTTTCTCTACTTCCTGAAACAACCACTTGCGCAGTCACGTTGTACGCATTCGGCAGGAGAGTCGCTGTGGAGACGCGTGGCTCAAACAGCACATCCACGGGTGAGCTACACAATCTTCGTACACCCATAGGCTGTATCAAGTGTCAATCATAGAAAACATGAACCCCCTAACAACTTTTAAAAAATGGCGCTGCACAGAAAAAAGAGGACTTGAGCACAAACCAGTCTTACAATAACTACACATTTACATTGCAAGCAGAGGGGAGAAAATTTAATATTCTGTGTAATTAATTTCTAAAGTTTGTCCACAGCTCCATAGGGATTGCTGGAGAAGGCGGGATTCATAAACTATACTGCAGCCCATCACCAGAGGGTGCTGTTCTTGCAGTGGCTTCACCTAGGGAGGAGGCACACGGTGTCCATTCTATCTACAGTCAATGGCCATAACACAGCACAACATACACTCTGCTCAGAGTGTAGTAAAGGACTCCCTTTGCAGCCTGGTATACAAAAGGCCTCAGCCATTGAAGGAGTGGCTGTGGCTTAAAGGTGGAGTGGTCCTCCCTCAGTGGTTCAATCCAAGCTCCTCCTTTGTACATGTTAGAGACATGAGGGAATCTAAAACACCAGGATGCATGGATGAGTCTGAATACTGACAGGGGATGTCAAAGTGCCCTAGGTGGTCTGAAAACTGAAAAGGTAATATGCAGTAATAGTGTTGCATGTCCTTACCATTTACCATAAACAAGGTTCCTCCCTGGGGTTGCAGGTTGTCTGTTTTAATCTTGTTTTGTATGAGTTGCTGCAGACACAGGCGCTGGTGCTACAGGGGCATTTTGAAGGCTTTCATACTTTTCTTCTCCATGCATGACAGCTATATGGTCATCTGCTTACAGCTGCTGTTCACCATTGATACTTGAAGGCTCAGAAGTATAAAAGGGTTTGACCTCCAGGAAAGAGTAAATCTTCATCTTATGTTTATTTTCTTTTCTGGGCACAGCTGGAATGTGAAGGCATCATTTTTTTGTATTACACACTGAAATCCACTTCGACTTATCTTTAAGGAAAGTCAGCTACCAAGAAATTCTCTTGTACAATGTTACTGCAGCCTCATAAGTCACAAATACTAAATGCAGATAAAGTTGTCCTGCTCTGGAAAGCACAGACTATTCAAAGAAAAAAACTCTCTAACTTCCCTGCTGGGAAAAATTCATCTGACCTGCCCTCATTTCCCTATACGTTCAGTTTTACCTAGCTTTTAAGAATCTAGTCTCCTGCTTTAGGTCGCCAAAATGTAAGCCTTGTTTTAAATTAGTTATTGAATCAGTTAATTTTGGGATTCAAATGTATGGTTTTATCTGTTTTTGGTCATTAATAGACTCCACCATTGCTGAGGTTTCAGCCTTTATATTCTGACCACCTGTTTTTTACATTGTAGACCCTCCTCTCATCAGGCCAGGTCCAAAACATCCATGATTTGTTAAAACATAGACTCCATATCACGTCTGTCAAGTTTCCTTTATTTTTGCTCATTTATGTTTCATGTCACGTCCTTCCTGTTTCATTTTGAAGTCACTAACCCTTGTCTCTGTTTCAGATCTGTTCCTGTCTGTCCTGCCTCTGTCTTGTCACACCTGCTGCCTCCTGACTGTCTCTCCGATCTACCTGTTTCCCATCACCCTTATTACCTCTTGTATTTAATCTCATGTCTCTCACTGTCTCATCACCAGTTCATTGTACCTCACAGTCTTCGTTTCAACACTCTTCACAGTCACAGTTATCGTCTTGTCGTGTTTGAACCTTGCCTACCTTTTTTTGATCTTGCCTTCTGCCTCACGTTTTTGGATCCTGCTGCCTGATCTGACTGCCTTCCAGTGTACTGACCTTTGCTTTTTTTTTGGAATAAACCTTTTTCCTTTTGACCTACTGCCCTGGTGTCCTACATTTGTGTCTGCTCTTCCTGTGCCTTGTTTCACGACACTCCACGAGGACTACAAAGGTATCTGGCACCAAACTCTCAGCTGTAGAACCTTAAATCCTTGAAGTTGTGAGGTGAAGCCTCCATCCACCCTGTTGCTTAAATAGTTGGAGAAGTTAGAGGTGAAGTTATCACCTTAAATCTGTTCTAGTGTTCCCTCAGGTCTCTCTCTTTAGTGACTGAATGGTCCAGTTCTAATGCTCACGTGCTCATTGTAGATGCTTTCTGCTGAAGACAAGGGTCAGCACGGTTACCCTGACAAATCGGCAGCTTAGCCTCTTACTCAACTGTGTGTTTTCACACCTTGACTTCAGAACCAGCTTTACTTTTTTCAGCAATTTGAGCTCCAGCTGCACTGTAGAGCGAGACCACATGGGCCAGCCCTTAACCCATGTGCATCAATAAGCTGTGACCTTCCATGACCCTGTCACTATCTCACCAGATTTCCTTCTTCAGAGCAGTTTTGACCACTGCAGACCAGGAATACCCCACAAGATGTCCGAACCCACTTGTCTTGCAGTTACAGTTTAGCAAAGTCACACCCATCCTTACTTTCACAACTTCAAGGACAAACTGTTGACTGCATTATATGTCCCCACTACTAACAGATGTCACTGCAGAGACAATCACTGTTATTTGTTTCATTGATCAGTGGTCATAATGCCAAGGCTGAAGGCAGATTTATGTAAAAACTGAAAGAGTCGGTCAGTCCATTAACCTGCCTCTGATTCTGGACCCACTACATGCAATTTTTTTTGTCCGTTTGTCGTGACTGCAAATGAAAGATTTACCCTGTAAGGACAACGGTAACCAACTCAACAGATTACTGTGTTACATACTAGTTAGTTTAGTAGTTTATCAAATACTGTACATGTGAAGATACTTTCCACTTTCACTGTCATCTTATGTTTATGGTCTAGAGTAGACCAATAGACCAATGTTCTGCCAGCATCTCCTTTGTGAATTATATCAGTGTGGTAGATATGATTTCATTGCTAGTCAATGTAATACATGTAATAAAACTACTGTACTGGGGTATAAGGGGCGTGGTACAGGGTTTGATTTAAAGTTCTGCCTTCTTCTGACTCTTAGACCACTTTCATTCATCCTCCTTTCTGCTTGTCTCTCAATCTTTGTCTTTCTGCACTTTTATACGAAGCAGCTCTCCCCTTTGGTCAAAGCATTGATTTGCCGTCCAACTGTCTCTTACAAACCAAGCTTTGTTCAAGCAACTCTAGGCTACCAGATGTGTTATTCTAATTAAATCTATGGTGTATTTTAGTACTTTGATAGCCCGTTTTCTTTAAGTTGTCCATCCTGCCCATGAAACAGAGGGATATACACTCTGGGTAATTGAAAGATTTACCTGGAACTGCTCCAGGCTTTAATGTGTCTGGTATTTGCAGCTCAGGGCTGTTTGCCTATTACTTTTGCACTTCTAATACATTAGCCATCATGTTGTGATTCAGTGCAGCAGTAGATCTTTCAAAAGGCCAAACAATTGGCCATTACGGTTATTGTTTCCTGGAGTGTTGTATACTTGTATGCACCCCTTTATTCCTCATGACTAAAAAGTGGTAAGAGTTGCTGAGTTCATTAAAAGCTGCTTTTGTATTGGACATTTAACAGGTGGGTCCTTTTTCTTCGGTTATCATTTAGACTCTCTCTTTTGGCTTCTTTTCCATTCAAAATATGTAGCTATGTTCATCAACCACTTTCAGGAACTTCAACAACTAACAACAGCTCTGTGAAGCACAAACCAACCGTGCCAAACAGAAGGATAATAACTCTTCCCCCTGGTTATTATGAGGCATTTATATAGTCTACTATATCTCGGTTAAAACAGCACCTAACTGCTCAGCGATGCACAAGGGAGGTCACTGCTGCACAACCTGATACCAACTGTAGGTTTGTTTAACCAGCCCATAAGCGCAGTGCAATTAAACCTTATTCATGTGATAATACCATCTGTAACACTTATACAGCCTCACTGTTTCCCCAGTCCCCTCACCTTAAATTATTACCAGACCAAATGGACAAATTTGAGGGAGAAAGGCAATACTGTTTGTTTAGCCAGTGACCAATCATGGCTGACTCTCTGTGCATGGAGCATAGAGCCACATGAGAAAGGAGTGGGAGCAAATGGGGAAAACTATGGCCAATGTGAGAGGGCAGCGCTGGGCTGAGAGTATACATGTGTAACCCATTTGATGGAGCCACGCCATGGGAAATATCCACCTTACTCCAAGCTCCTATTTCCATAAGATTAATTCTTGGAGAAATAATAACAAAACAGCAGTACCTGTTAATTGGTCATATTTCAACACTTAAAAAAACTGTTCATTAATGATATTAAAACACTACAGTGAAATGTTTTCTTATAACTGGTCAAGGTAGGGATTTCCCCTGTTCCAGAAAAGACACCTTAGGGGAGGAAAAGGTTGTCTTGGGTCCAAAACAACCTGCAGAAGCTTTACACAAACCCAAATTCAGTCCAGTGAGAAATTTGGAAAAGTCTTTACATCTTTGTGGGAATGTACAGTAGAAGGTGGAGTGGATCACTTGCTCATTTCCTTTTCCTGTTTCTTTTCCTCAGGTGTATGTGTGTGATATAGACTGGGTCCCTGTCTGAGCCTGGGGACTAGTCATTAACAAGGGAGGGCATTATTGAATGGCTCAGTGGTCATTTCCCCCTCGTAATACCAGCAGATACCACTTGAGCCTCTAATTTCCAGTCCTTAGCCAGATATACACCCACTGACACACACATGTACCCACCCATGGACACACACACAGAAAAACACCTGCATGAAAGTGCAACCCAAAGTGGGTGGTAAACTCCATCTAAGGCTAAATACTGGCACGCATCTAAACCGGCGCATCTCCTCCAATACAGTCAGTCGCTTCCTGCCCTCCATTTGGTCCTCGCGCGAAATCAAGATCACGTGACTGAAAACCTCCTATTGGAAAGGCTGGCCATCCTATGTTCTTCACGCCGTTGTGGACAATATATATTGGTGAGTATGAAAAAAATTGGCATGTGTGCTAGTGCTTTGTTTCACCTTATGTGTGTTCATACAAATGTTTCAATTCTATTTCCAGGTTTTGGAACATCAACCCATAATGCCTGGTTGTGCTCACAACACTAATGTCCTCTGACTGTCAACATTATTTTGCCAGGTACATCTACTGCCTAAAGTTAGTATAATGTCCTTATATATTTTTGAGGGTGTTTTTGAGTAATGTTGCCGGGCAAATGGCATCTGTGCCTTTATATTGATTTCATAGTTTTGTCTGCTTATTTAATCATAATTTGTTAAGTGAAATATGTGTATATGGGACATTCTACCAAACGTGTCCAAAATCCTGTCCCCTGACAAAAAAAAAAGCAAACATATATGGTTGCAAAGATCTTTTATGAACTCTTTAAATCTAAAACATTAAATGAGATAGAGATAAGCTAAAAATATAAAATAAATAACATAATATAAAATATAACACCAAAAACATTTTTTATAAAACAAAAAAAAAGGGTGGTTTAACAGATATTTGTGATTAAGTCTAAAAAGGAGTTGGAAGATTTAGATTTATTGTGGGTATAATATTTAAATTTGTTTTAATATGCTGAAAAAAGGTGTCCCCAGATTTTATATCACAACAGAAACACAAGAGTTTAAATTTATTGGTTGAGTCTGGGTTATTGCCACACCCCTGAATCTTCAAGTGGGGGAAGCACTCTGATGTCCTTTACCTAATGAATGCATGGAAAGTTGCTGATTGATATCATTTTCTGACATAAATGGCTTCTAAATCTGAAAATCAAAATATTTGGATTTTGTCAACATATTTTGTTTTTCTGCAAGGACAAGTCTTCAAATTAGACAAACTAGCCATTTGCTTGCCAGCATACTGTAGCTTTGCCAAGAATTAGCTAAAAATGTCACATCCAAAACAGTCACAACTGAAACGTGGTAATGGTTCGGTCATGACATGATTGTTTTGGTTGTGACAAAATATAATGATTAGTAGTTAAACCCCATCATTTTGAAATGTGTTCTAAATAATAATGTCAATAACCTCTTTGTAGCAAATTAACATATTGAAGACAATGATTTATTTTGTATTTAAAGTCATGTTTCTGATTTGAAATTGTAGCGCTCAGGGCAAGACATGCTAAAACTGACTGGAAAAAGTGGAGCCAAAAGGTTGAGAGAATACAGACAAAGAGTGAGGGATAACCCAGTGAAATTTGCACAATATTTAAAGAAGGAAAGAGAAAGAAGAAAAGAAGGAAGTGACTTATCTGACAGGGAGCAAAGGATGATCAGACGAGAATGGAGGGGAAGACAGCGAAAACAGGTATGTAGAGAAAAGAAAAAAAGAACAGGACAGGGTTTTTTTTCCATGGCTTCTAGCCCAGCCAGCTCTTCTAGTGATCAAACATCGGACCAGAGAAGGATGAGGAGTTCAACAACTGAAACTGACCAGACACCAGTGTCAAAGAAAAGGAGAAGTTCACACATGCATAAGAACAGAAAAATACAACGGCTAGAGCAGAAGATCCAAGAGATGCAGCGCAGGGGAGACAAGTACAAAAAGAAGAACTTTATTGACCCCGAAGGGAAATTCAATTGTCTGTTGTCTCACGTAATATGTCTATAAAAGTTATCTATTATTTACGTAAGAATTATAAAGCCTGATGGCTGTTGGTACAAAAGATCTTCTAAATCTTTCTGTCCTGCAGCGAAGAGAGAGGAGCCATCCACCACCATTTGCCCTTTGGTCCATCAAGGTGTTGTGAAGTGGGTGATCCATGTTCTTAAGAATAGTCTTCACCTTCCTCAGTGTACATCTCTCCACCACATCCTCCACCCAGTAAAGCTCGAGTCCTACCACAGAGCCAGCCTTTTTCACCAGTTTGTTAAGACATCTTGCATCCTTGTGTTCGATGCTTCCTCCCCAGCAGACTGCAGCGTAGAACAGAACACTTGCCACCACAGACTGATAAAACATCTGCAGCGTCCTACTACAGATGTCTATTGATCAGAGTCTTCTCAGGCAAAAAAGGCAGCTCTGCCCCTTTCTGCAGATGTAGTCTATATTTTTAGACCAGTCCAACTTATTATCCTGATGTACACCTAGGTATTTATATGATGTCACCACTTCGATGTCCACTCCACAGGAGTTCACTGGCTGAAGAGAGGGTTTGGATCTACGGAAGTCTATGACCATCTCCTTTGTCTTTGAGGTTACAGAGGTTAAAGCCGAAGGTCACATCAAGCTCAGATGATTCCCCCAGAACCAAAACCAGGAAGGGCAGAAGCACAGACTCCCTACTTATGTCAGAAGAAACCTTCTTTTCCACATCACACTGATGCACCAATTGAAAGAAAGTCCGCAGCAATGAAGACAAACATGGAATCAGGAGAGATCTCTCAAACAGATTGTTGAGGAAATACAGACTTGTTTTTTTGGTTTGAAAAAACTGTTGGTGTCTCCCATCACAAAATGGACCACAAGAAAACAGACAAGCCACAGTCAAGGTACACCAGTCATCAGGGGACCGTTGGCATTGTGAAAACATTCTTATGTCGCTAATGCACGACATTAGCATTAGCAGGAAAAAACGAGACCATCACAAGGCTCAAACAAAAAAAGAAGAGGTTCCTCTTAGATACAATGCTAAATTTGCACAAGAAGCTGATGGTGGAGATGCCTCATCTGAGGCTGTCCTATTCATTGTTCTGTCATGTCAGCCCTTTTTGGATTGTTGCCCCAAACTTATAAAACAGGGAGACATGTGTCTGTAAAGTACATGATAATGCCCAAATGAAAGCGGACAGACTTCAGCACCTTGGCATGATTAACTCAAACAGCTTGAGCATAGTTGCAGAAGAGTTGTGCTGTGATGTACAGATTAAAGCTTTTATGTACAGAGAATGCCTCTCATGTTAGAACAAGTCACTCACACACACTACAAGTACGCCACAGACAGGAACCACATGGTGGTATCAGTGGGTCACAAAAAAGAAGATAATGAAAAAGAAAAGGATAGAGGAAAAAAAGAGAATCACAGGGACAAAAACGGTCAAATAGAAATGTGAGGGCAGCCCAGAGCAACTACTGGAGGATTTTGATAGCCAAAGTGTCCAAACACTTCTTCAACATCCATCATCAGTATAGCTACACTCCTTGCACAGCTCTCTGAAAGAAGATTAAGCTATTCCTCATATTGACTACACAGAAAACTGGCAGTGCAAATATGGAAAGGAGGTACAACAAATCCACTTTGGAGCATTACACAGACAGACAATGCTTCACAATGCTGTTGTGTACACCACAGATGGTACACTGACATTTTGTGCCTTATCACCTTCCATGTAGCATGATCCTCCTGCCATACTGGCTCAGCTTGAACCAGTTCTTTAGTACCTGAAAGAGAAAGATCAAAGGATCCAGAAGCTCTTCTTCATAAGTGATGGGCCAACAATGCAGTATAGAGGAAAGAAGAGCTTCTATCTCATAAGCAGCATTCGATTCCAGATGGGGTTTACTGCTTCAAACTGGAGTTTCCTGGAAGCTGGTCATGGAAAAGGGCCTGCAGACGCTGTTGGAGCCATTATTAAGAGAACTGCTGATGTACAGGTTGCTATCGGTACAGACAGCCCCACAGCAAGAGTCCTCTATGGCACACTCCTTCCTCTCACCAAAGTCAAGCTGCTCTATGTAGAGGAAGAACAGATCAACAGAGTAAACACACTCCTTCCAAAAGAGCTGACCACCATCAAAGGAACATTGAGCATTCATCAAGTAATATGCACTACACCTGGCACAATCCACTATAGAGTGCTTTTGCAAAAGAGGCCATCTACCCCTGTATCCAACCATCATCCACCAGCACTGCACCACACCTGCTAGCAAGAGATACAAGAAAACCTGAGCCAACATCTTCAGGAGATGAAGGCCGTCCTTTGAAGCCTCGTCCACACAAAACCAAAATCTGGAGTGACTGCGGTAACACCAGACCCTCCACCCTTCTTCCCATCAGCCCCACCCTTCCTCTCTTCCTGTTCCACCACAAGCTCCAGGTGTGAAGAGATTCTCTGCTCTGTTGATACTCACTCAAGACCATGTTGGACAGTGGTGTGTCGTCACCTATGACAGTGACCCATACCCTTGAATCATTGAAAGAGGAGAGGAAGGTGAGTTGTTGCTTAAAATATGAATCAAGTGCAATTTTATTGAGCATTTCATACACAAAGGCAAAATACACTTTCCAAAGCCTCTGGAAAATGCATGTTGCCCTTGGACCAAAGGGGAGAAAGCGGAATACACAAACTCGTTATTTCATAATCCTATAAAAACTGTCATAATTACCATGTCTTGCCGATTGTCCTTTTCCTGCCTTTCCTCTGTCTGCAGGTGCCTTGGAGGTCAATGTAATGTCCAACATTGGGAAAAACCACTTTTTTGGCCACCACTACAGGACAAGATCTGGTACACAATGGACAAGGTTGTCACCTTAATCCCTCAGCCAGAAAATATGACACAGAGGCATGTCTAGATCAGCCCGAGAGTGTTTGACGCAATATGTAAAAAATTCAATCTGTGAGCAAATTCTTTAAGGTGCTTGACACAGAAACCCCTTAAACCCACACCTGCAGTGTGTTCCCTCTGTGTGGGTGTGAATTTTTGTACCCTGTTATGTGTCCACTGTGCTGTAAAAATCAGTATTTTCTTTGAACTGCATATTTATTTAAAAAAATTAAATTCTTTTATTGAATATATTAAAAAAAAGTGTTTGTGACTTTCTCACCATAGGCATAGCCTACATTTGAGGGTTGCAACCTTGACAACTGGGTACTGGTCACAAATGAAACAGTGTAGTCACAACCGAAACACAGGGTGTTTTGTAAAAGATATTGAGTATAAAAAGTATATTGAGTTATCCAATAATATATTAACACACTTATTTGATAACTTTGTGTTCTGTTTCTTCAAATATTAACTTTGAAATCAATCTGATAAAAATTTGGCATTTTACAAAGAAATATTGTATTCGATTTTTGAAGAACTGTAATATTTGAATTTTGAAATTTGTTAAAATATTCTTTTTTTTTTATTTAGTTGTGAAAACTGTCCTGAAAAAAATTGTAAAAATGTAAATCTGTAGACAATGGGGGAAAAATTTCTTAAAAGACTGATTTATTTTTTTGTATAATTTAAGATAAAACATTGCAAAACATTCTGAAAATACAATATAAAGATTGACAGTTTTACTAGATATGTGACCTTTAGATAATGTACAATATATACAGGGGATAATTTAGGGGAATAAAACGTACAAAATTTTGAAATATGGCCAGCCCCATTTTGGACAATTCCGGTAGAATGACCCATATAGTAGTAACTTACACTCTTACAATTTTTTAGGAGCCACAGGACATCCATGGCACCTCTGTCAGGCTGCTTCTTCTTGGGGATCCAGCCCACACTCTCATAGACTGGCTGATGAAAGGCTATACCCGTTCTCTATTTCTAACTGCTGAACAAGAGTCTTTCAGTGTTTATCTGAGCTTTGCGCAGACCACAGTAGAAATAGCATTTGGAAGACTAAAGTCACACTCGAGAGTGCTACTTAAGAGAAGTGACTTCCATTTCACCCTCACACTGCGTGTTATCGCCACATGTTGTGCACTACATAACTTTTGTGAGGGTGAGAAAGAGACTGTACATCCCACCCAGTCAGAGGAAGCTGCAAGACTGGAATGCGATTACCACAGCCAGGTCTAAGCAGCTACACCACAAACCAGTGCTCTAGTAGGCAGGACACGAGACATGCGCCGACAGAGTACATGGCAGCTAATTTTCCTCTGTGCAGTGCACTGTTTGGCCCATTGTCTGCTGCTGTCTAGTGATGTTTGGGAATAAAAACCAAAAAACAAACACTGCTTTTCTGTGTTTTTCTTCCATTTGTGCATATTTGCATATTACGACAAACAGTTTCTTTTGCTGTTCTGGTATGATTGTGGTACTATGCCATGCATATAGATTGCTAGCTGGGCTGATTGCTGCTGCACTTGGTAAAACACGTTCTTTTGTTGGTCTGGTATAATGTTGGTACTATGAATATAGATTGGTAGATCACTGCTACAACAGGTTCTTTTGTTTACACAAACTTTATACAAAAAGAAAATTTGCAAACTCCCAATTTGCATTGTGGTTGGTACTGAGGTAAAGTGAAGCTGCAGTGGAGGTAGGCAGGTGTATGTGGTATGTGCATTTCACAAATGGTGATAGGAAGGGGTAGAGTCATACCCAAACCCTCTTTGCACACTTGGGAGGTGCCAGTGCATTTTTTAATCTAGAGAGGCCTTCCATGAGTGCCAAGACCATTTGTGTATTGTTGTCCATTATATTGTTGACCAGCCTTTCCTCTCTCTCCTGGCTTGGCTGCATTTGCTCCATCCGCTTCAGAAAATGGTCAACACTACTAGCAGCCTGGTGTCTCCTCCAGGTTGACCTTTGTGATGGTGCTGCAAAATATTTTCACTCATGCATTCCAGTCAATTAAATGCATTCACAGGGCCTAGATGATATGCTAAAGTCAAAATGTGAGCATATGGTTGGTTGATATTTTCTATTTCTAACTAACAAGTGAACTTTCCCAGTAAATTTGGAGTTTGAGGTCTGCTTGTTTCTGCCTTACTCCCTGTGTCGTAGGCCGAATGGTGGGTGGACTCACCTGCCATCTCCTCAAAGTCCCCTGGCTCGAGTAATGAAGTGTTTGCAAAGAACACAACATGTGTACTTCTTACATAAACATTTACGCAGGTTATTTATTTACACCACATGGCTAGGATTGCTACCTGCTAACATAAGGTTAACAGAGACTCATTCATTACAACTCACCTGAGGGACCCTCAAAACCGATGTCGAGGCCGTGGTGGTCGATCTGGGACAAAGGCCGGTGTCCGAGTAGCTCCTCCAGCACATCGCCAAATGGACAAGCGAGACGATTTTGTCTACTTGTGCCATTGTGCTTCCTATGTGTCTTATGTGAAGTATGTTTTTTTAGGTGTTTCCACCGAATGCAGACTTGTTCGGGGGTTTGAGTGAAAGCGTCTCTCATCTGTTCAGGAACTTTTTTAAAGAGGTCTCTATTCCTCGTCTTGCATATACTTAAAATGTCCATTTCTTTCAGGTGGGAAAGCATAACGGCACTTTTCCTCATCGTTCCAATACGGTAGATGCTGAAATACCGCATTCAGAAAACAGTAATGCTATCAAAAAAAGCACAGCAAAAATCTCCAACTTATTTCAATCAATCAATCAATCAATCACTTTATTTATAGAGCACTTTTCATACATGGACTGTACCACAAAGTGCTGTACATTAAAAAATACAAGACGGAGAGGATCAGGGGATACTAAATAAAATAAAAGATAAAATACAAATTGCAAAACCCCACCCACTCACCCACCCTCTAAGCCCGCATTTAACAGAGACCCCACCACCCACACACACACACACACACACACACACACACACACACACAACCACTGAGACACCAAGTCAGGGCTCAGCAGGAAGCCCCAGTGGACCAAGGAAACACTATCTTAAACTAAAATGGGGAAACACTGGAGCTGAAGCTAAACTGATAAAACCATGACAAGCTATAGGAAACTCATAAAATGATCAAAAATAAAATGAAATACAAGAGTAATAATGATAAAACAATAATAAAATATCATATAATAAAACTGTTTTTAAATCAAACAATAAAAGAAAATAAATAGTGTTAAAACATAAACTAATAATTCTGGGACTAAAGTGGAGTAAAATATATAAGATAAAAAGAGTAGACTAAAGGAGAGGCTAGAAGAATAAAACAAAAATCAGCTAAAAGCCAGACTAAAAAGGAAGGTCTTGAGTTTGCGTTTAAAAATATAAACTGTAGGTGCTGCTCTCAGGTCTTCAGGTAGACTGTTCCACATATGGGGGCCATAATAATAAAGCGATGCCTCACCGTATGTTTTGGTTCTAACTTTGGGGACTAACTCTACTGGGCTCATATCGTAAAAGCAAATCAGATAGATAAGGAGGACCAAGACCACTAAGACATTTATAAACTAATAAAAGAACCTTAAAATCTATTCTAAAAGATACAGGAAGCCAATGCAGAGACGTTAGAATTAATTAATTAAAATAATTTAAAATTAAACTATTTGTCTTTGTGTAATTTTAGTCAAAATATCTAACAACTTTTTATGTAAACCTTACTGACCTGACATGACCAGTCTTTTTTCTAGACACCACAAATACAAAATCTATTTTATTTGGGTGTAATACATCCAGAAAAAACTCTTTAGTTAGTGTCTTGAACCGGGTATCAAACCTTGCTAAGATTCAAGCTCTGCAGTGAGAGAAATGTAGTGAGGACCACAGGGCAAAGCCCCCAGCCACTTTTGTTGTACTGTGGATTTTTTTTCTTACTCCCCTTCCAGACAAATTTCAATTCCCTACGAGTCCTACTGCTCAAAGAGTTGTAAGACAAATTATATATCAAAATGAGCTGTTTGTTTAGGATTTGTGCGATTCCATTCCTCTGTAATGTCAGGAAAAACTGCAGAAAAATGTTGCACTGAAGTCAATGGGACAAGCCAAAAAAAGGGGCATCATTTGTTTTGTATTAGTTTTTCAAACATTTAATGCTCTAGCATTTTTTTTTCTTTTTTTTTTTAGTTTAAAAATAAAGTGCTTTCTCAAAGCTGGGTTAGAGTTTGTAGCATTTTTCTGATTGCTCCTCCTTCACTCTGCTAACCTGGTAGAGAACAGAGGCTGCATTCATCAACAGAGCTGTCAATCATCTGTCTAAAACCAAGCCCATGTTTTTTTATCCATGTGCCATCCGTTAACATGATTAAGGTAGTTTGGCTTCGCAGTCCATTGGAAATTACAGTCAGTGGTACAAACCAGTAAATAATAAATCCCTTTCACCCCTGAGCCAAACCAGCACTCAAAAATGTGTGTTCAGAATCA